GCCTTTCCCGCCGTAGAAGATCAGGCCTGCTTCTGCGGCTCCCAAACACCATGCCGCGCGTAACCCCAAAGAACTATCGTACCGCATGGAATGGGTACCAGACCAGAACTTTCCGAGTAGCGCTGGGAGGCTCATCATCGAACCCTTGAAAGCTCGAATCCGAAGGTTACAGCTGGGCGACAGTCAGGTTTCGAACAGTCGCGCGGTTTAGGGTTCCAGTTCTGGCTCCGTCATGTTGTCTACGCTTTAGGTTTACGGCTACCCGCTATGCTGAGCTAAGCTTCCAATCCTCATCGCCAGGCCTCAGAGCTTTGGTTTTCGCCTGAAGTGAACATGGGAGTTTCAGATAGTAGGGGACCCTAAAATAGTACCCTAAATAGTAGGATTCTTATTATGAGGTACCCCTAATTACCGGAGGCCCAAGGCCGTGAGCCGTGAACCCGAAGTCCTAAGCCATAGACCCATCTCGGCGACCTAGGCAGTCAGAGTCGCGGCAGCCCATCATGCCCTTTCGATCCACGTGCCGCGCAGAGGATTCAGAATTTATCGGAGTTTACGTTCACTCCTAGTAGCATGTGACGAGTGGGTGTGCCGTTTAGAGGTTCACTTTGGCATCGAGCTTTCCAGGTCGGACATCGAACTGAGTCAGCTGTACACTGTTGTCTTACAAGGTGCATGTGGTGGCTGCCGTCTCGGAGTATGCCTCAACTGCCACACACATCACTGAAAGATCCTCACGTGCATCGGGGGCCGTTGTTTGTGGAGCGTGCTGGAGTCAAGGGGTGTGCCCCGAGGCAGAATGAAGACATCTGTGTGTCCAACTAAACCTGACCTTACCTCTAGTCTCCATTGTCGTTGCTTTTTGGGGTTACCTTTTAGGATCCTTAATATAAATTTGGTTAAACCAAAAAAAGGAACTACAATGGAGACTCTCGGTATGCCTCAATCCTGGACTCCACGGCCTGCGCTTAGATTCCCGACCTCCAGTGACTCGCTTCCAGGTGCTTCTGCAGCTTTCCCAAGCGACTCCTGCCAGAAATCGAGACGTACCCCATCGTCACTGAGGAACCTGTCCGGTGTTGCCCATGTCATGTTTGGGATACTGTTTCTTTTTTTGCACTTTTCAATTACCCCTGACACCGAATATGAGGGGTGGGCAATCATCAGGCTTTCCCTCACACAAGCCTTCAAATAGAAGCGGGCTCCGGCTGAATAAGGCTATGTTTTGCATGTTCATTTTGCGGTTCTGTTCGTTCTCTTTGTATTTGGTTCGCTCACCTGTTGCTGCGGTTCTTGTTCTATTTATCTCTTCTGCTTGCCTTTCGGTGTGCGTCGTGCGTGCGTCGAGTTTGCTCCGTTGTGTATGTGTACACATTCCTTGCATTTCCGTGTCTTTCTTGACTTTTTCAGCTTTCAGTTTGATTTGTGATTTGTTTCGTTCCGCGTGTCGTTATTCCTTGTTTGCGTTCCTCCTCCTCCTCCTGCTCCTCCTCCTCCTCCTCCTCCGCCTCCTCCTCCTCCTCCTCCTCCTCCTCCTCCTCCCCCCCCTCCCTCCCTCCGACCCTCCCTCCCTCCCTCCCTCCCTCCCTCACTCGCTCGCTCGCTCTCTCTCTCTCTCTCTCTCTCTCTCTCTCTCTCTTTCTTTCTCTCTCTCTCTCTCTCTCTCTCTCTTTCTCTTTCTTTCTCTCTCTCTCTCTCTCTCTCTCTCTCTCTCTGCTCTCTCTCTCTCTTTCTCTCTCTCTCTCTCTCGTCTTTTGTGTCTCTCTCGTTTTCGTCTGTTTCTCTGTCTCCCTATCTGTCGGCATTCATGTACGTGTTACCTTTCTATCAACCTTTCTATCTCTTGTTTTCTCCGCAGTGTTCTCAAGGCCCGCACGCAATGACATTTTTGCACAAGACGGGCATGCGGATAGGGAGAACGGAATTCGTGTAGTCTCTGGCATGTATGTATGTATGTATGTATGTATATGTGTATGCATGTATGTAGGTATAAGTGTGTGTGTGTGTGTGTGTACGCATGTACGTACATACGTACGTAGGTGTACGTACAGATGTATATATCCAAAACGAAGTCGGTTAGCTTGCTTAGCATGGGACATCGGATGATTGCATGCTGAGCATAGGAGGTCTGATGTTTTGCGGTACAGGACTTCAGCGAGTCGGTCTACAGCCTGTCGCTGGAGCACTCCCGGGCGTCCTGGAGTGACACGAGCACGCTGTTGGCGGCAGGGCCGCAGAAGAGAGCTTCCGGGCTTTTGATTTCGGATTCATCCCTAAGCCTCAAATGGATTCTTGTGCAGGCACTGGCAGGTCCTTGCGCTTTCCGGTTCCAAACCACGTGCGTGTTGTGTTTTGTGTTGTGGTGTTTCGTAGTGGTGGAGACGATGCTCGGACCTGGACCCCATCGTGATGGATCGCTCAGGGAGGTTGCTGTAGCCACGATTGAGTTCCTCGTGATGTTACAGTGGCGTTGTGTCACAGTGCCAGGCTAGTTCGCGGCGAGAGATTTGGGTTGTTCGTCAATCTGGCTGCAGCTGCTGTTGTAATAGGGTTTGGCGTAAGGCGGCATTCTCATCAAACGGCTGTATAGGTTGTTTTGACCCAAGTTTTCTGTCAAGGATTGCCAGCACGTGCGCCTGAGGCAGACACAAAGCCAAGTAAGAAGCGAACCTTGGCAGCATTCAGCCTTCCCGAGTAGTAGAGTAGGGAACCTTTTACCTTTTATGGGTAATATAGTCCCTATATATAATCCCTATATAACCAAAAAGGTTAACCTTTAGTCCCCCATGATACCCGACATGTAGGCTTTTAGGAATACGTGCAGCAGGCCATGTTAGGCCGAGAGGCTTCTACTTGGAGGTTCATGGGTGGTTATAGGTAGGGTAGCTAGGGTATCTATACTTAAAACCCTACTTATAACTAACCCCGAACCTCCAAGATATGGTGTTCATTGCGCAAGCTGCTGCCAGGAGAACGATCGAAAGGATTGCGGGAGTTTCACAAACATTTCAGTGCCGTTCTTCCCTGACCGACTGTGGTGGTAGGGTTTAGGGTTTACGTGCTTTGCTGTTGCTTTCAGCTGGTGCTCGTAGGGAGTACCACCTCCGAGTCAGTATAAGGTCCGGCTCGAAGATTCTGTGCAAGATGATGGCATAGACGTCCTTGTATATGTCTACCGCGAAAGTCTTGACACAAGTTGATATCGGATTTCAGGTGCAGAGTATTGGCAGGCAGACAGGGTACAGTCGGTGACTGCGGCTTGTCATCCACCGCTATGATCTGGCTCTTGACGAAAAACCTAGGTACATTGGGAATGCAAGTCCGTTCAAGGCTCCATTTTTGCTGGCGGGATGCAGCTGCTTCCTGTTTGAGAGATGAGAGTTGAAGTCATTTAGATGTGTGACTGATGCTGGGCATATTTCGGAATTGTGGGGCGTAAGTCTTTGGGGGATGTGTTTAGATGTCTGTACAGAGAACCATTCCTCGTTGCTTCGCCGGCCGCGGAGTTTATAGGGCTTCAGAGCTATCCCCTCATTGACGGCAAGGGAAGACCAGGCAGTTGAAATCTGCCATGTGCACGGAATCAGCCGCAATCTGCTTGGCACACTTTGTTAGCCTGTTAGCGTCCTTCAGGCAGGGAGTTGAAGCTAAATAAATCGCCATCATCACCATCATCATCACCAGTGTCTCAAGTTGCAAATCCAGCCGTGGTTTTTTTGTATCATACTGTACAAGCTGTCTGTCGAACAGGACGCACCCGTCCAACGAAAAAACGCCACACTCGAAAACAAGCAAGCCAGTTTGATTGTTACAGTGTCTTGACAGTTTGTAGACTGTGTTTACTAGTCGGTTGGTTGTACTCTTACTTGTGATGTTGCATGCCAACAACCCCCGAAGAGGCTTGAAACTACGAGGCTTACAGGGCTTCGCCGGACTTAGCAGTCGTTTGGTCTTGTTTGTTTCTTCTCCAGCCGTGTTTTGCTCAAATGCACTGATCAAAACAAGAGGACATAAGCGGATATGCGGTTTCCGTGCAGCGAAAAGAGTTTTAGAATTTTTGCCGTACCTGGCTTCGCTTTGTCCGGAGCCGGGCTGCCGACCCGGTCTCATAAGGCATTTGCAGGGCTAGGCTTTTCAAGAACTCGCAATTCGGGGAGCATCGGCACGACTTACGCAAACACACGCTCAGTGACACTGACTCGCTATTGGCAACCACCCTTTAGTGCACAGCGACCATATCAGCGACCGGTGCTCACGATGCCTCGGCCGACCCGCCTGTCAGCCTGCGTCTCGACAGCTCATCCGGATAGTTCCTGGATGCCACAATAGCTAGCGCAGACAGGCACGGCACGCTTCGAAGGAAGTTGTGCGGATGTGGGCCATCAGAATCAGACCTACAAGCAGTTGCACTGCCGCCGTAAGCCCGTAGCTGTCAGACTTGACTGTTACAACCCTGATCCTGTACTCCGGATGTGTTTGGGCTGTTCTTGATGCTGGCTTGGGTTTGTCCCAGTTGGCCTAAAGTCACAGGGAGTTAGAAGCGGATCCACGCCAAAGGTGTGGCTGTTTAGTGGAAGCAGGCGGTCTCGGTGCAAAATACATGTGCCGGCAGGCCATTCTGCTTCGAAGCTTGAGCATGTGGGGGACAGGGAAGGAGTCGCGAAACAAGGCACTCTCCCCCAGCTGCCGTTGTACTGGTTCAGGCCCTCAGACAACAGCTACACGAATGTCATTGTCCCATAGACCCTACAGGTGCGAAGAAGTTATCCCGAGAATTCCTGCATTTCGCAATGCTTGGCCTTTCACTGTACTACGGGTCCCGTGGTCCCAAACAAAGCAGGGGCCAGGGAGGGCGCTTACTCGCCTGGCTTTGCCTGCTCGTCCGCTTTGTTAAAAGAGACCATGTGCTCCTAGCTTGAGTGCACCTCTGCAAATGCCCGATTCGGACCAGCAGTCTGCTCTCCAATGTCATTCCAGACCGGGTGGCCGTTTCACGCCAGGCTCGCCCGAGGTCAGCGCGGCCGCAAGCCGCATGGCTAGGAAGTTCAGCTTCAGGTTGGGAGGGAGGAGCCACAAGTCCTTGCGTTGAGGGCCGTGTCGGTACTGAGTTCCAACACAGAGTCTCCCCGAAGACTCTGTCTTTGGTGCTCGAGTTTGCAGCCACGGGCTCCACTCGTGCGCCCAAGAGTACACGCCGTGTTGGATCTGGAGCATGTCCGGGGTTTGTGCTGCAAGCAACTGCTAGTAAAGAGAAGCTATCTTTAGCATCATCAAGAAAATTCAGTGGAATGTAAAGCAGACATCCCCTCTGTCTCTCTCTCTCTCTCTCTCTCTCTCTCGCTCGCTTTCTATTTTGCTGGTATATAATCACTCGCACATGGAGCTAGAACTTGTGTCCCCTGTAGAGGGTTGTTTAGTGTTAGGTGCGACTTTTGGGGCTTCTGATGAAGCTGAGTGGTCTTCGCCTGCCTTGACTTTTTCTCAGCTTCTTGCAGACCCCTAGTGAACCCAAGTTAGGTGGCTCAGGTCCAAGCTAACGACTCAAGATTCAGCTTTTGTTGCATTGTTCATTCCTTCTTGCCTGCTTTGTGCGAGAGCGAGAGTCGATGATATCAACAGGCAAACCTGCTTATGCACACCTTTAGCCGTATATAGTACATCTATGTGGGGATACGAGCGTGCGTAAGGATAGAGGATCCTGGTCAATGCTTCGATCTCCAGGCGAGTTTCCTGACGCCGAGCTCGTCCTAGAGGTCGGCGTGCCAGTTTGATCACTTGGGCTCAAAGAATGGGAGTGAGTTGACAGAATTCAGGAAGAGAAGCAGGCAAGAATCCCAAGAAGGAGGTGTCGACCATCAGACATCCCTCCCATTCTGTTCGGCCAAGCTTTCGCCAGCCCCTCTGAATATAGAAGAACTTGGGATGTTCAGACACTTTCATGCTCAGCCGAAGTTCGGTTCACCTGCTTGGATATGAGGGACTCGAGCTGTTTGTTAGCATGCACCTCAGGTCCAGGATCACCCACACCTCGGGCGCGCCTTACCCCCTAAGGGTTCCGAAGTCAGAAGTCCCGCATCTTGCGCTCACATAGAAGCCGAGATAGTTTCCAGTACTACTCGTTATGGGTCCCTCATAGTTATCCTGCAAGATTCCCGTCCAGAAATCCTATGTCGATTTTCACGGCCCCATATTCTGGAAGCCGTATAGAACCCTTCAGGGGAACGCTCTAACTCTAAACAAAACCTATTGTAATCATTTTGGCCCCTGGAGTACCCTCAACCCTAAACCCATCCCTACACCCTACCTTTACAGGAGCCCTAAACCCTAAAACATTATTAACCCTCATAAAGCCCGCATAGTAACCCTTACAATTATGGTATAATGGGCCCCAGAACCCTATACTCTAATTATTATTACTGTTATTATTATTATTTTTATATCATTATTATTATTATAAGGTCCCTTTCTTTAAGAGGATGCGGGCAGTTCCCCGAGCTCCCGCCGTGCCTGGCAGCGGCGCGCCAGGCGGTTTCTAAGCGCCCGGGGCCCGGGATCTCTGGAAAGGGTTTCGAAGGGTTCGAAGGGTTTTTGGGCTTAAAGGGATTTAAGGTTTAGGGTGGGTTGCACTGCAAGTCCGTGCTTAAAAAATAAGGGTGGGTTGCAAAGGGTTCGCAGGATTTTTGGGCTTCTCTCAGTACGGGTTTAAAGAAAGGGGTAGAGGCTGGATAGTTTTGCGATTTGAGAAGGGGTAAGCTTGCTCCCTAGGGTAAGCCCATGCAGGCGTGTTGGCTCAATGCACTGCGGCTTCGCGGGACGATGACGATCCCGCGAAATCCTTCACGTCTTTATCCGCAAACAGCGAGTGTGCACAGACTTTAATGCTTCAATTTGGCCGGAAGTGTTGAGAGGCTGAGGCAAGGAAGCCTGCTGGCCAGGCTTGGTCTTACGGTTCGGTGTCACAACTTCCAATATCTTGCCTTGTCCTTTTCCTGAATTTTTCTGCCTCGGCCATGAACTCAATCGACAGCAGCACCGAGGGCAGCTGTCAGGATGTTGGAGTTCTGCAGGAATCACAGCATGCCGTTTGTCTAGAAGCGTTGTTAGCTTTCGTCGCCGAAAAACCCCGCCTGACGTCGTCGTGCGCGAGTGCTAGACATCCTGCGCACTTAGTGCAGCCTCCGTTGTGCTCCAAGTCTGAGAAAAGTCTTGCCGCCATTCTGCCGGTATGTAGTTTCTCGCGCACACCACCATTCAGTGCATGGTCGTGAGGCTGGGCTCCGCCCCGGGGAAGCACAAGAAAGCACAGGCGATCGAAAGCGCTCGGTTTCAGCTTCGTGTGCTTCAAGATTGTGCCAGCTTGCTACCACAGCGGTTCGAAACCCTCTAATGGTGCTGGTCATCTGCGACAATGGGAACCCAACTTGCTACAACTCCTTGAATGAAACCTGCTCAGAGTCGTATAGGAGTGCACCAGACCGAGAACAGAGAGCCTAAGCTCTCAGCATAAGGCCATCAGCTAGCATCTACCCAAGAGTTATCTGTCAGGTGAAGGGGAGGCCGGGGGCTCGTGGAGGATTAAGTGCCAAATTCGCTGTCAGGCTACGCCTTCGTCTTTGCAGACGATGCGGAGAGCTTTGTGGCTTCAGGTCCGTGTTCCTGCTCGCAGTGCCGTGAGATCGTAGCCGTAGCTCTCGATTGGCAGCCAAGGGGTGCCCATGCAGCTCCGGGAGAGTAGATGTATCGGTAGGACCCAAAAGGAAGCAGAAGACGCGAGAAGCGGAAGAATCGTCATGGTACGGCAATGCTGCTGATGACATGGAGGGACGGTTGGTGTGGTGACGATTTTGGTGTAAGTGGTGATGGTGACCCCTGCTGCCCGTGAAATAGTATGACCATGGTCGGTGTCACAGCGTGTCAAGCAGTGGCCATGAGCAGGCCAGCCGGAATGGAAGCCCAGGGAGGCCCGGAGACTCTTCGTCCTGTGCAGCTTTCTTTTTGACTTCGCTTCTAGGTTTGGACTCAGTGCCTAGGAGCCATTGCGGTTCCGCACTAGGAACGCAAAAGCGGTGGATCTGTTGAGCGACGCCTATGCTGAATCAAACACCAGACCACTGCCTGAAGGATATCCGAGGTATACGGGCAGAAACCCAGTCGTTCGACGAGGGTTGAGGTAGACTTTACGAGGACTCGAATGTAACCCTCGCATGGCATGCGCGTTGGGAGTGGTTATTAGGTCTGTCACTGTGCGTATGTATATAGTTGTTTTTACATACACAGAGATTTACACACTGTATGCATCAACACATATGGATGTCTGCAGGTGCTTTACATGGCACGGCTTTGTGCCTTCGACACGGGTGCGGGACCCAAAAGGGCTGGTTGGTGTTAACAGAATCGCGAAGACAATAAGTTGGACAATGATTTTGACAGTGGACAGGACTGCGACTCTGACTGACAAACAGCAACAACGACTCTGATGTTAAGCAGCATTGTCGTCTTGGTAGCAGGACTATGCGGATCTAATGCCAGATTTGCTGCTTTAAAACAGCACTGAAGACGGAGAATCAATGTTGAGGGCCAGCATGACACGAGCACCATGGGGGTTACTGTCTCACTGCCAACTCACATACATTGTCTTGTGAGGCCATCGGCAGTTCTCCAAGTTGGATTCGGCGGGGCAGGCTCGAATTTTGCACGTTGGCCTTCCATTGTAGCTCACCGTGCTCGAGACCCTTGCTGCGACTTCGGTGAATGCTCCTCATGCTCGCATGCGTGGAGCATCTCCGTAGAACAAATGCAATGTTCGGGTTTAGTGAATCGGACGTTGCCTGTTGGCCACAACATCCACATACACCCTAACCCTACAAACCCTCAGTCGTATTGCGTGGTGTTGTTATCACCGTCACATTGAACCCCGTGTCCAGTCGGGCGAGAACTGCCCCCCACACATCTCCAGCTCGGACGAGCCCCTTGGCTGCAGCTCGCTAGCGTGCGTACAGCCAGTCGGCTCCCATTACCACGAAGGTCCAACCTGTATCATGGCGGTTTTGTTAAGATATTGTACATATTCCTTGTACGTCTTCACCCGGCTATCCTCATTATTGATGAGGAGGAGCTGAATTTCGGATCACAGTTTGAATTGAATGTTTACATGCTCGCGGCTCATACCGTTGTATTTCAAATGGGTCGTCAATTCGATGTATGCTGGCCACATGTTGTCAATTTCAGGAAATGGTGTTTTTGGCAGCCCAGAGAACCCAAGAATGTATTCCTTCAACCGAGAAATATACATCAAACTCTATATAGAGTCTAATATAGAGTTTTTGCTATCATTCAGAGCCTGTTCTGCAGCGAAATGGTATCACCTCGGCAGGAACGTTTGAAAGCGGCAAGCCAGCCGAGCTGAGGCTTCTCATGACGCTGCTGACGATGAACACAAACACGCTGGCCACATGAGAAGCTGACGGGGTACAAGGGATTGTTCTAAATGAGGGTTCCCCTTAACAACCTAAAGTGCTACGTGCCCCTTATACCCTGAGCACCTGAACACCCTCATATTGACTAGTTATGGCTGCCGATGCAGGGATGCCTGCGATTACGCCTACACCAGAGTAACTGTTTGTCCGGTTGTTCAGTAAGAGGCCGCTACGTCCACAGCCTGCGGCAATGGATTAACAGTGATGCAGTGTCTCCGAAAAAGGCAGGCGCCTCGATGGGTTTGGCAACGGTCCGGCCCCTCTCAAGCGTCACGAGTCGATACCAGATTTAAATGCGTGAATCCCTGATGTGCATGTAGGCCAAGCAGTGGATAGGACATCCCACTACCACATGTTAACTACCCCCCACAAATATTGAAAGCTGCCAAGGTGGAGCGATTGAACTTAGACATATTTTGAACGGAATGTGCAATACAATGGCGGCTCCTTTGTGCTTGGAAAGCGCTGGTATGTCCCCGGTTAGAGGCATAAGTTGTTCGACTGCAGTTCCCCACACCATGCCTCGGGCCAGTGTTTGGCCGAGCTGCGACTGTGAGTTCGGACATTCGTGGACGGGTGAGGTTGCACCATTGAAACAATGTGAGGAGCATGTATGTGGGAGCAAGAGGGTACGGTACGTTCAAACCCCTTCCATTCCGGTGGCATACGATGCATACATGCATCTATGCACGCATGCACACACTCATGCATGCATATCTGCACGCGTAAGACCGGGTCTTCATACACATTCACAAGGTCATCGGTCCACCCATCCATGTGTATGTATATGTATATGTATATGTATATGTATATGCATATGTATATGTGTATATATATATATATATATATATAAAGATATGTGTGTGTGCGTGTACATACATACATACATACATACATACATGCATACATAGTTATGGTACAACGAACAAACACACATTTAACGTTAAAAGGCATGTACATTAAGTATACCTTGACATGCGTAAATACTTGATCACACACAGACATACTTACCAACATGCGACAAACACACTGCATGGATGCATGCATACGTACATACAACATAAATACACACAACGAGCATGCATGCACACATTGGCTTACTTACATACACACGAACCTGTCCACATGCATTCATACATATGTGGCATGCATGCATGCCAACACACATACATATTTTCATACTCACACGTGTAGGGTATGGTGGCACTGGATTTGCTAGGACTTTAGGCTTATGGTGCACGGGCAACTGACGGCGACCAGAGTATTCAGGATCAAGCAAGGATGTCATGTGGGTAGTTAATGGTAATTAGCCCTCGTACCCGACAGCATCCTTTATGGTCTTTCTTGGTTCGACTATAGTTACTACTGTTGCTTGCCTTCGACTGCGAGACTTGCAAGCAAACCTTGTCGAGCCTACAGATCCTCAACCCGACTCTCCCAATCCAGTTGCAGTAGGCCTTCTGTGTTCTTTCTGACCATCAAAAGCCTAAGCCGAGGAATACACTCGATTGTAGTGGCTCCTGGGAGCCTCAACTCTGCCCTCGGCTCTTTCGCTTTGCAGCATGGCCTTTGAAGTCCAGCTCTCGCAATGTGGGTGTGGAGACCCAGAGACCGTGGTGGTGTAGTTGTTCTGACCGTGTGGCGAACGTATTACATTACAAGCTAGGAGCAATTTTGTAGCGATGCTTAAACAAACGTGCTGCAGGGTCGGTCGATCATGGAACTGCTTTTTCGACCCATATACCTTCACTTTGTGTGAGACGGGCCTTCTTGCCAGGCCAATCCTTCCAAAGAGCTCAGTCGGCTTGCGCTGGCATGCAGGATGCCTGAGTTCTTAGGGCTTGAAGGGCCTTGGGGAGCTGGCATTCGGCATGACCCTTGACTTGAACCTAGCTGTGGTAGGTTTTGTGTCAGCTGCACTCAGTGACTTCGCGCTCCGATCCATCAGCCAGGATTGATAGCCAAAACCCCGAACGATCGCCAGGAAGAAGACTGGAACCTGGCAGGAAGTCGGGAAACTCAGCTTTTGACTGGGGGTTCTGGAGGTTCGAGCTGGAAGAAGTACGGCAGGCCGTTTAACGCACCACCCTTGGGCACTCGAGTTCCGGCATTTTCCGGAGTGTGAGACTGAGACTTCCGGCAGGTATATTAAGGTATCGATTCTCAAATGCTTTGGGCTCTTTGATGGGTATTTCGGGCAGGCAGAGTTCAAGGCAAATGCTCGACCATGGGTTTTGTGCTTCGAGTGGGGTGCGGAATCCCGAGAGCATTGGAGATAAGTTGTACGCCCTTCTGCTTACTTGGAGGTTCATGGGTAGTTATAAGTAGGGTTATAAGTCCCCTAATATGGGTTATAACTATAGTTACCCTACTTGTAACCCTACTTAGAACTAACCATGAACCACCAAGTACTCTCGTTCCCGTCTTAGTCCGGCCGTGAGTGTTGGACTCTCCTTGCGTCCTGTCAAGGCCGTCTCATTCCTCACCGCCATGCAGGGCATGAAGGAGATGTCCCCTGCCCAGTTTGAAGAAGATAGGGAAGTTTCTGCAGTATGTAGAAGATTCCTTGTCGGAGGTCATGGTGCGCAGGATGATGAAACTGAGGTCGCACGTCGTTGAAAGGAGGGCAGCACTCGAAAGACAATCACACGTGAAAAACATCGCAACACCAGTTGCACCACGACTACCGCCACAACGATCATCGCCGCATCGACTGTATATTCTGCGAGGTGCGCGTCGAGTTCTTAGAACCTCAGAGATGCCAGGCCGGACCACAAAGCTTGGGGCGCTTTGATCAGTGCTTGTGCTGCCGGCTCGGGGCCTCATCTGCACTTTGTGAGGGGGGTGGGAGTGTGCACGGCGGTGGCAAGTCGGCGCGCCTATGTATATGTGTGCATGGCGAGCCAGATAGAAAAGCTGCACGCATCCATGTGTATGGTTCTGTACGGTTCAGATAGTGCACATGCCTGCATGCATGCCTGTCTGATTGTTATTCTAGATGTTGGGGATCATCCTATATGTGCATGTTTGGATGCAGCCTGTGTCAGTCAAGTTCAGAGCGTCTTGGGACATCCAGGTCAAGCTTGGCCGGTGTCGCTTGCCCTGTTGGAGGACGGCCAGGGCGGATCGGGTATGATGACGTTCAAGCTATGATATAGCTGTAAGAGAAGTCTGGTGGGTGGCATGTCCCACGGTGCGCAACTGCAGCTTGCATGAGGCGGGGGGATCTATGTGCAGGCATCCGCACGCAGCTGTGAGAGCCAGCTGGGTGTACAAGTATGTGGCTGGCCGTCACTTTCGCTTCTCTTCGGGATATGTCTATCAGTTTATGTATATATATATATATGTATATATATACATACGAGTAATATAGCTATATATAAATAAACATATATATATATATATGTATATATATATATATATATATACACATACATACAGACATACATACACATGGGTTTCGTCTTGAAAGCAAGAATTGTTGTGGCGTAAGCGGAGCAGCCTTGGCTGCAGCTGCGTTGCCAGGAAGCTTCAAGTCCACAGCCGGTGCCCCGTGACACAGCTTCGGGTCGACATGGCTACGAGGTAGAACTTAGAACTGCATGAACTTTCTGTAGATGCGCGCTTTTGGTCCAATGTCAGAAGCATTCCGTCTGCTGCGGCAGAGAGGGAGAAATTCGAGCGGAGGCAGTAGAGGTGTGTTCTTGAAACTGTACTACGCTTGATCAACACCGTCTTAGCTTTAATCATGGAATAGACAAGGTTTGTGCTCCGTTTTTTAAGGAGCAGTGTACGATTCTGATGACAGCTTCGGGAAGATAAGCAGCTGAGGCAAAGCCCACCTGACATCACCGCACCCATGGCAGACACCGTGCGGAGCGTACTGTGGGCACGGTTTGCGCTGTTGTTTGATGGGGAAAGAACCTGATCAAGGAGTCCCCTGGACGAGGGCTCTCGACATCGATTCAGTTCTGAAGCGAGCTTGGTAATGTTTCAGTTACATAGATCCCTACATCGTGCATCCAAGCGAAGTTGAGTCAGGTGCTGGTAGGCAGTGCTTGACTTGGCTTGGCAGCACAGTTGACAATGTAAGCGATGATAAACGCTTGTCACCCTGTTCCCGCGGCGGATATCGCAAAACTATCTTGGCCGCGAGAAAGACTGCTACAGGACCTCGATGGTGATATCTCGTGACTGCGGTAGCTGTAGCATCCCTGATGCTGGGCTCAACTCGTTTTAGTGCCTGAAAGTCTGGAACCACCATGGGATATGCAGTTCAAACCTGTGGCTTGAGGCTAAGGACGGGCTCTGCAGTCTACCTCCGCTGCTAGTAGATTGACCCTATGCCTTAGCCGTCCGTGCTGGTAGCCCGATGAACCATTCGGATTGCATCTCAGTTCCTGTGGTTTGGCACTCTTTGATCAGGGCTGCTCTTTTTGAAAGGCATTGTAGAGCGTTTCAGTACGGATGTGACAGCACTCGGATGCTTCCTTCAAATTTCAATGTTCGAAATGGCTTTGTTCTGATGGTCGAAGGTAACCCTTCATTCCTGATAACCCTCAGACCTAAGACCTTGTTGTTTTCGCTGGAACAGCATAGCTTGTGGACACAATGGGTGCGTCACTGCCGCCTAGATGATGTTCAACGACACCATGGCTGGTGCGATGAGGCCTGGCCCACCGAACAAGAGTTTCCCGTTCTTCAACATCGGAGCTAGTGTCCGGTGTGTTGTGAATCGTTACGCACGTGAGTTCGAAAGCGATGCCAGGCAGAAGCAGTGGCCTGTTGTTCTGGCACTCTTCCAGAGGCCGCGGGCACAGGACCAGAAACATATTGTCGTCTTATTGTCTGTCCTGCATCAGGGTCTGATATAGGGGGATCCTGTTGAGGAATTTGCACGTCTATAGTTCAGGATGCAATATATGCATGTTTTGGGGAGTCGTATTCCGGTTTCCCTGTTGGTGTATACTACTCGACACTGTATTCTTATCCGTTGGCCCCGGTATGAGGAACGTGTATCCCGCATAATCGTGTTTCTGCTTTGTGTAGCTGGTGCCAAAGCCTCAATCGAGGCTCCGCGATGCTCCCGATGGTATGCCCCGCTGGGGCCGCAGCGATCCGCAGTAAGGTCTTGAAGGCTATGTAGAATGTATAGCAGGACTTAGGATGCAGTGTTGACTCTCCTGAGTCAAGCTCCAATGCCGCACCTTGGCACTTCGACCCATCCGGTCCCCGCAAACTTTCTGCACCAGGCTCTCTGAGGATCGATACCCAAGACAGAAGAAGACCTTCAGAAGCGTGAGGATCTTAGGATGCAGCCAAGACATGCAACGCATGCACTGAGCCCGGTACTGAACTACCAAGATACCTCAGATGATTCTTGCATTTTGGGGCTCCGCGTACTCATAAACTCCACACTCTGCGACAGCGACATGAGCGAGAAAGCTGAATGGCAGTAAGTATGCAGCGATAGTAGGCGGCTTATTTGAGGTCACATGCAAGGCCAGTCCGGCTGGATGCGCTGGATGTGACTAGACATACGCAACCGGAATCCGCAACACCTGCAATGTACTTCTCGTTGGTCGGTCTCAGCCTTTTCGTTGAACCATGCCCGCCATGGTGCATGCAGCAGTTGCGGCGGCGGTGCTGCTGCACGGAAGCAGCTGCCCGGCTGGTTATCTGAAGTGTGTGGTAGGGGATTTGGTTTGGATACAGCGATGCTTCGGTCATGGTTTCAAGACCCATGCACGGCATTTTCCCTGAGCACTGTGGCGGGTATAAGCATGCAACTACGCTCAATAAGCATGCACCTACGCTCAGCTTGCAACGCCATCGCAATGATGAACAGGGTCTTCAGTAATCATCACGATCATCACCCTCACTGCCTCATTATCCTCTTCGCCTTGACGAGGTGGCTCGGACCTCAATCTACACGAAAACTATAAGGTAAATGAACTGTGGAATTTGCAGGGGCTTCGGGGCCTCGGGGGTTTCAGGGAGACCCACTCCACAGTCTGTGCCCTAGCATGCGCATCCCAGGCTGCCTTGGCAAGCCTTTGGCAAAGCCACTCCTGACTATCAGTAACGTCCAGGAGGACTGTCTGAGATGCTACTCCGGGTCTATAGAAATTGTAGAAGGTGAAGGGATCGGAGTCTGATGGCAGCAACGAAGAGATAGTCGGTAAAGGGTCTTGCGATGGGCCATGAGCGACAGTGAGTGTCACCCGCTGCCCAGATTCAATCTCCACTTCCTCAGGTGTTCGTCAGGTTTTGATCGAATTGGAACCTGCATAGCCGACTGCGCCTGACCAGGGACTTTCGATACAAACCATTGACGTCCTTACTGAAAGCTCGCAGGACGAGTACACCTGCGCACGCTGCAGGTGGACTGCGAAAGTCCTGCGGGCAGCGCTTGGCGAGTGCCTTGGCGTACTATAGGGGCCTTAATAATAACCTATACTATTTCGGGGGATCCTTATTGTAGTTATAGTATAATGGACCGCGAAACCTTATTCTAATTGCAGAGGTCCCTATATTATGCTCGAGGTCTTTGAAGCCTTTTCGCAAGCCCATGAGCCCGGCTCCCTGTGGAATGTTTAGAACTTTTGATTTTCAAAGCACACATCGCCTCACTGGAACTGCGTTTCCGCGAACCATTAGTTTACAAACAGGAGCTGGGTACTATGCCCTGAAAAGTATCGTACGCAGTAAAAGTAGTTGCAGCAGCAGGAGGCGGATTCGACAACCACCTTCAGCTACTGTGAATGAGTCCCCATTCCACAGACCCTTTCTGGTGACACGAGCATGACTTCCCAGCGTGTTCGGTCTTCTGTCCTGGTTTCCTACGTACTCTTCCAGTCGCGTTTTTGTAATTCAGAAGATTGGGAATGTTTTTGCTTAACAGACACCCATGCAGGAATCCTAAATCGTCCTGGGGATGTGGCACCCGGAGGTTTGGACTTTACGGGAAAGCTGCGTGCAACTACTTGAGATGTTGATGGTTGGGCACCTACTTAGGAGACGCTTCCCGCGTCGGGCGAATGAGGCGAGCCGGCCTAGTCGGTTTGTAGTCATAAACAGTGATAGTATCCATGGCATTCTTGCCCGGTGCATGAGGTGTCGTTTCATGCCAGCGCTTCCCCCGTAAAGCATGAAACACGTCCGCTCACCTGTGGAACTTCTTTCGACTTGCACAGCACGGGCTGATACACTCCAGTTCCTAAATTACTGAACTTTCGTACGGGCTCATCGGGCAAGCACGAACACGAGTTTACATTAAAGCCATGCTTTGACCACAATCTCAAGAGCACGAGTCAAGACGGAGGGACATGGCAGATGCATGTGCAAAGCGACTGTCTCGTGAAGCTATCTGTTTAAGTGTCAATTGACTGCAGAACTCGCACTCACGAAGGATAGAACGGGTTTTTAGGGAGTGAGGCAGGGAGCGACAGAGGATTACAGAGGGAGTTCGAGCGAGAAGCGTGATTTGTGAGCTGCTCGGGGTGACAACGGCAAGGATCACTAGTCTTGTGCTCTTGTTCTCACCGCAGCAGTGGTTGTTCCAACGGGATTCCCCACCAATCTGCAGCCAGGAGACCAAAGGCAAGAGCACTCTTGATGTTGGATCCTTACTAGTTAGAATGGATTTCAGGGATTATTATACTATAACCAAAGCCCTTTCGGATAATTAAGGCCCCTATATGAGACTCCGAGCTCCAACCTCGAAGCTGCGAGCCTTCGGCCTGGAGCTGGGAGGCCGCAGGGCGCCGAAAACTGGCGGAGGAGGTTCTGAACGAGGCCGAACTCCGGGGAGAATAAGGTTTAGGGGCTTAGGGGGATTCATGGGACTTTATACGGTCTGTAGTGTAGGGCTTGCAAGGGGGCTTGGGGTGATGGATCAGCAGTCTGATGCTCCAAGGTCCGTCGGCGGTGGCAGGGTGTTGTGTTCGGGGTGGATGGTCTGGTTGCTGAAGAGATTCCGGCAACGACTGCGAGAAAAAGCATCGAAGTTTTTGCACAGACTTGGAGCCCATGAAAGCCTTGATGCAGCCCATGTGTCAGTGACCCTTTGCCACACCGGGATGGACACCCTCAATCCATGCGCCGCAGAACAGCTTCTGAAGATGCTACAGTACCTGTATGCACTGTGCGAGACAAGTCGGTTCGGCTGTACATCTTTCCCATAGCATCCATTTTAGGTGTGCCAGTCGGCAAAACAGCTCACTAGTAAAGGCATGTCTTCCAATTGCAGTCTGGCTTTGATTTGGGATGGAGGTTTTGGGTTGACCACAGTAAGGAGGACAGCCATGGAAGCCCCAAATTTGTGCATGACAAGCATGTTATGGCTTCGGGGTTCAGGGGTTTCTCAGCGGGTGAGCTCCAATCAAGCCTTGTACTTTAGGAGCCGAAATAATTATCCATACCATTTTTTGGGCTCCTTTTTATTCTAATCATCAGAATATACCCAAAATCCTGTTCTGAATGTTAAAATTAAAGCCCCTTTATTTGGTTTATTCATCAACTCGCTCCTGGCTCGCAGTCTGAGTTCGACCTGCCTCCAGCGATGGGCGAGCTCTTGCCGAGAAATGCCAGTTTGGCAGAACATTAACTTGAAGCAGAAGGCCATTTTCGAAATCATCCAGAGGCCACACGCCCGTGACCTTCCCTACTACCTCGCTGATGACGAGCTGGATTTTTTTGTGAAAGGCATTGCTTGGGGACCTCACAGGGAAACCTACCTGCCACGCCTGGTGGAGCGGCACAAACGCCCGATCTACATTGCCCGAGGCTATGCGCCTCCAACTTACTCGCGCCTGGTGATGCTTCGGTACTACGGCCCGGACCCACTTCTAGAAGGCCATACAGGATGGGACGCCGGTGAAGAGGGCGAGATTATGCAGTATGTCTTGGGGTGGAGATGGCTCTACGCCGATTGGCCCGGTCCTCTGGTCGATGAGGTGGAGGACGTACTGCCCGGCACTGTTTCTTTTGTCGGTTTGACGTTTGCATTTTCGTTTCACACCCGCGCACAGGCCTTAACTGCCAGAGCCCCAAATCAGGAGGCCTGGAAGAAGAGCTGGTGGCCAGAAATATCGGCACCCGATTGGACCTGGGAGGGTCTTCGCTTCTGTGTGCCACCCTATCACCTCCCAGAGGACAGGCCATCCACACCAGATAGTAAGTGAGTCTGTATGCTGGAGATACCTGCACCCAGCATACAGTATATGTGCACTTGGATGCACAACATACACCTTTTATGTTTGTTGCTCGAACACAAACACAGAGACACGCCTACCAAGTCCCACCAACATTTGTATGTGCGTGTGTATGCATGTATGCATGCGTTGTATGGTGTAGCCTGTCAAACCTCGTCTGACTTGTCGAGCACGAGTGACAAAAAATGTATGCATGCATGCAGGACGGGCTCCCTTGGCGAGAAGGTCGAGCTGCTGAGTATGCACTTCGGGCAGAAAAGATGGCTTCGAGTGGTCTTCAGGGTTCGGAGGACTAATACAGAAACCTTAATAATACTTACTAGTTACCTATACTATGTTGGGGTTCCCTACTATAACTATAGTATAATGGGCCTCAAAACCATAGTCTACTCATTAAGGCCCCTGTATGAAAGTTGGCTTCACCACCACCACTGCTAGGCGTGTACTGCAGTTTAGCATAGAATAGCCAGGGTCACTGCGCGTCCTAGATCGGCCCGACATGGCCCGATCAAGTCGTGACCTGGTCACCTATCCCTGATGCCTAGGAGCCCCGCGTCACGAAAGGCAAGGGCAAGGGCAAAGGCAGAGCCAGGGCACTTGCGGCGCAAGAAGAGAGTCGGCGGGACCTGAACAAAAGGGCCGCCGGGGCTCGGGTTGGTGATGATTCAACAGAAGTAGTAGAGAAACATCTCATGCACGCCTATGCATGGCATTTCGATGGGTGGACATTGGGTCTGTATCTGCCACGGTTGATAACTCCTATAGGCGCGAAGCTTCAGGATCAAATGACAAGGAATAGCCTGAAGTCCTAAAAACCCAAGCTCCAAATCCGAACCAGAAGCTTGCACATGTGGCTTGAAAGATCCGTTGACGACGAGCCCCCTTA